AGTGCTGCATTCAACATACCACGTGACACGACAAAAATACAATGTTTATCTTGTTTTTTTTATATTTACTTTTAAATTAAGAAATTGAGTAATGTATAGTTCTAAAATTTGAATTATAATCTATAGTTATACCAAACTTATTGACATAAATTCATGAAATAGTAGTTTAATAAAATTTTGAATGTGAGTTAACAAACGAGACGACACGGCCTTTCACCCTTGACCCACCTCGAAAGGGTTAATACCTGCCATTGACACAGCACAGTGAGCACACCGAGTAGCTTTGTGCTTAACAATGAAAATAATAGCAGTATTTCAATTACTTAGATAGGTGGAATAGTCAGAAATAGTAATAACTGGAAACATTCATTGTGACAATAATCAGTTTGGCATAACCAACTCGAAATAATCAAAAATTATAATGGAAAAACCCTAATTGCAATATTTAAATTGCCAGATAATTGGAATAATAAAAAAAGCAGTAATAATCGGAAACATTAGTTGGTTGTGAAATTAATCCATTTAATTATAATTGCAATTTATTGATTATTTTGCATGATACTAATTTATGTAATGAAAGCTCAGAGGTAATTGATTAATCCCCTGTTGTAATATTTGTTAAGGATAATAGGAAGAAAAGGTTACTGTTTTTTTAAAACTGAAACATATAAGTAAAACAAAAATAACTTTTAAGTAAGAACTTATCATGCTATACATTTATATATATTTGCTACTTTCAACAAGACCACTGAATAAAGTTGTAAATTTTATTTTAATTTAACAACTAGACTAAAACTAAAGGTTTTCTCTTCCAAAGCAATTCTGCTGGAAAATTAAATGCTCTCTCATAGTCTAAATTAACTTAGGTGCCAATTATGATCAGTTCTATATTTAATTCAAACAAGTCATCTTGTTATCTCTGTTGAATTTATAGCTTTACTAGAGGAAAATAAATCATTTGTAAATAGGCATGACAGTTGTTTATAATAATACAAAGGATAAACTAGAGAAATATAAAATTGTGATAGTACACAAAAGTATTATAAAGTTGAATGTTTGAATAACGAGTATTTGGATTCTGTACTCGTATAAAACTCAAAATGTTAACCTATTTATGAAGCAGTTGTTTGTGGGAGTGATATGCTTAGAGGAGCATTTTAGTTACAAGATCCATGTACAGTATTTATTACTCCTTAATCATCTCTACCCACACATTTACACCAATTACGGTAATGGAAAGAACCCTTCCATGGATCACAAAGGGTTAATCATGTTGATGTCTCAATAAAACAGAAGGATGTAATTACACCAGGAAAAATAGTAAATTACTTTTAAATGAAGTAACAGTTAAATGTATTAAAGAATGACTGTATTAAAAGTATAAACTTGATATTTGAATTATCAGGGAAAAATCCAAGGTATCCTTGGTTATAGTTACATTAATTTTTAACTACTGGGTCCAATGCATGTGAAAAAATACATTGAATAATGAAGAATTA